CCCTGTGGTTGTAATGCAACCATTAGCTGAATGTACTATCAATAAAATCCTGGGTCGCAAGTACTCACCTTAATATTAAAAAAAAAAGGAAGTAGTTAATTGACAATTTTCAGAGAGAGTTATATTGAGCTCTTAAATATCAGCTCTTTAAGTTGTTTTTTAAATATTAATTATTTTGGATTTGATAAAAATAGTGATTCAAGTAAAATAGATCCTTTTTAAACAGTATATAGAATATTATATAATAAATTAGATGTAAATATAATACCAAGGTATTTGAAAAGTTAAATAATTTTAAAGTTAATAGTATATTTGTTAGGCTTATTAATGATAGAATTATCATATATCAGAATACTAGTAAATGACTACAAGTTATTCTAAAATTGTTAGAGCCTAATATAAATACTTATTCCTAATAAATTAGAAGAATTAAGTCTTTTAGTAAAGTTTGTAATATGATGTTGTAGTTGAATATTCCATATATTATAGATATTGTATAGCTGAGAGTAAAGTAATATATTAATAAAAATTGTATAACTAAGTTTGACTTTATTTTTCACAAGTCTAATATGATTTGTAACAATTTTTTTACATGTATATTGGTTGAAGATAATATTATGAAGACAGTATTTAATTGTAGAAATAATAATAGTATTAATAATATAATATGTATATGTATTAGTAATTTGTTTTATATTTATGATTTTGACAAGATGTAATAATTCTGTAGTGATAAGTTTGATTTGTTTAATTTGTTTGTTATTAAGTATAAACCAATATCCAAGAAATTTTAATAGTTCATTTGAAGATTAAGAGAATAGTTATTATATGTAATAGAAATATAGTTAGTTTGTTTATTATTAATTATGAATATAGATTTAAAAGAATTAATTTGCATATTAGTTATATTAAAGAATGATTTAGTTGTAAAAAGAATTTATGATAGTTTTTGTTATGAAGATGCAATCCAAAGAGTGTCATTTATGTAAGTAAGAGCTGAACAATATGAGCTAAGTTTATTATATATTTGATGTTTTAGATTAATTAGTCAAGAGACTTATATAGTATAGTCTTTGAAGTTGTCATAAATATATGAAACACTAATTAAAAATGATGGGAACCAAACTTTACACATATGAAGCAGATGTTTTATATATATAAATATAAAACCTAATGATAAATGTTTCTAAGAACTGAGGCTATGCAGGTTATGCAGTAGATTCAAAAAAACCTTGATTTTCCTATATCTAGATATAATGTAATATGATTAGGAAAATTCAAAACAAACATTCATTCTGCCAAAAAATTACCCATAGCTCAAAAATTAACATAAGAAACCATCTTTTGTACTCTAATAAAAAGTTTTTGTTGAGAAATTTTATAATAAAAATTATTCCTATCTAGATCCTAACTTAGACCCTAACTCTAACCTTAATGAATTAAGAATTTAATCTTTGCTGCCAAATTTGTACACATTTATGATATACATTCTAAATAACCAAGATTTTATTAATCTTTACAAAACCATGCTAAGAATTAGAATTGATGAAATCAGAGTAATATTTTATTTATAATGATTATTACAAATATAAATCAAAAAGAAAATTAGGAAGAATTAGATAAGAGTATTGAAACAATAGATATTGTTGGTTTTGAAAAATTGTGACTCTGTCACACCTCAATTCAATATCTTGTGTAATATATGATAAGTAACCTTTTTGAAAAAGTGTGTTAGATTTGACTAGTGGGTGATTAAGACTTTTGGTTACTTTGGGTCAATGAATACAAGTAGGATAAGTTATGTAAACAATAACTTGAACAAACAATGATGGTTATTAGGGTTTACAGGATTATAATAATATTAGTGTTAAGGTTTTATAATGGATGATATAATGTATTGGGACTTGTTTATTAATAAGGCAAACTGGACATGTCATCCTCTAGGACCATTTCGACCTTTATTTATATTATATTTTTAATTATAACTTCATTAATTACATTAATCTCATTAAACTTTTTAATTCAATTCCTCTAATTTATTCACTTAAACCTATTTATTTAATAAATCCCCCTTCTCTAATTAATTCCCTTTATCTAATTAATCTCACTTCCTTGATTTATTTAATTAATCACATTAATGCGATTAATTGCCAGGATATCCATATCAAGGATTTGATCGCCATACCCGCTCTCACGTGAGGTCCCGGCAGAGCATTTACGTCACGTTATTGGGCCTCACAATATAACGATTAAAGTCCTTTAACTTATTCATCTATTATAAATATTATAAAGACGTTCGTCTTGTCTGAAATGACTGCAGTTAAAGAGCTAAATGTGAAATATGAATGCTGTACAGGAAAAATCTTTAAGCATCACATTTAATATAAATTAGTGCCACCAAGGGAAAACCTGTCATCGGGTTTTTAACTATATTTTGTATCGGATACAATCTTTAACAAACTATATTGACAGGTTTTCCCTTGACGACACTCAAGTTGTAATATTTATCAGCATTTATCGTAAAGTCCAATACTTAATTTTCCCTGACATTTAGAAAAGATATATACATTATTACATAATCGATCATTATCGAAATCAAAAACTTATCGAATCGGCCAAACAATCACTCGGTCAATTTTTTTACAAGATGTCCCAAAAAATAATAAAAACAGCTGTAAAGTAGTTTGTTATTTTTTACAAAGGGATTACCAAATTTCCGGTCCACGGTCTGTAATATTTGCTACCTGGAAAAAATTACCCTGGTCGAACCACTATTGAAAAAAAAGAAAAAACAATAAACCATGTTCTTTAAAAAGTTTGTTTCTGAAACATTCCGAAAAAAGTGACGACCTTCACAATCATTATAGCATTCTCAAATACTTATGTAATGTTTGTTCTGTACACCAAAAAAACCTGTGTAGCTTATGAATGGCATATCGTTAGTTTTAATAAGAACTTCTTAGTATAAAAACTATAATAATAAACTAAGATATTTGTACATTTTTTTATTATATTTTATTGAATTTTCATAGCATACTCCAAATAACAAATATAGAAATAAAATAGATAAATCTCTTTGCCACCAAAAAGATCATAAACAATAGGTTTAGCTATTTATATAAGACATTTAACATGAAACCTTCAAAAAATGGGAGTAAAAACAAAAAACAACATAAAAAAAAAAAGAGAAATGAATCTCGTGAACAATATTTTTAGGCAAACATAGAAAGTTAACAAGTTTGTTAGGCATATTTTAGCTAAGGTGAAAATTTTAGTATGCAGCTTTTTACAAATCTAACAATTCTTTAATAGATATAAAATCTCTGTTTTGACCATAAAATTGCTTATATGATTTTTCATTTTCTCTTATTGTTTTAAATGAGAATTGATCAGAAGGTGTTTTAATATTATTCTCGTTTAACCCAACAGGTAAATTTCCTTCAGAAGCACGTTCGTCAAGTTCATCATTATCTACTTCATGTGGCGCTTCTTTCCAATGACTTGATAAATGTGCACTTATTGCAGAAAAAGCACCCTGAGCAGCCAAGGTTATACCAAAGCTTCCCAAGGCTCCAGGAACACTAAAAGCTACTTGATTACTTTTTAACCCGATTTCAATTAAAATTTTCTCAATTAAAGTCTTTTTCGAAGCTTCTGCAGCACCTACTGCAGCACCTGTAATTGTTGCTGATGATGCTGCTGTCGTCACTGCTCGCGTTGTCTCTAATACTCCACCTGATATAGCACACTTAGAATCAAATTCCCTAATGCCTCTTACCGCAGGAAATACTCTTTCATTAATGTATACTCCACGATATTTTCGACCATTTTTTCCACCAAGACCCGGACTTCCTCCTTTTCCGTTTAAACCTCGTCTACTTTCTTCAAGTATATTAGGATTCTCTAATAACTTAGATGAACTATTAAGTACCACAAATCCATGTTTTCCACCGATACCACCTATTCCTCCTCGTCCACCATCACCTCCTTTTTGTCCTGGATCAAAATATTCATATATTTCCTCATGTTTATCATTAACAGTTAACACAAGTTTAACAACTTTTTCGGTACATCTTATTACTTTATCGAGAGCTTCTTCTTTATCTGAAAATAAATTTAGCTTTACCTTTTCCCTTGATATAAGAGCCGAATCATCTTTATTTTTTACAAACTCCTCTCCACAATCAGATCCATCAAATCCATCAGCACCGTTACCACCATCTTGACCTTGACCACCATCACCGCCACTAACATCGATAGTTAGAGAAGAAATATCAAAAAAGGTATTCCCTCTGCCATAAAAATTTCCTCCGTTATAACCAGGCAGTCCAGGTAGGCCGTCTTCACCATTAATTTTTTGGTCATCAACAGTTAATATTTCGTCATCTGTTTGATTATTAATTTTTTCATCGTTAATTTGTTCATCATTGATAAAAGGTATTAGAAAATTGCTTTTTTCATTGGTAAAAGGTATTAGATAATTGCTTTTTTCGTTGGGTATTTCATCATTAATTTTATCTCTAGATTTTTCTTGAATAAAAGGTATTCCATCCTTTGCTTTACTTGATGGGTGTGGAGGGCCGGGATTACCTTTTAAATTAATTATTCTTTTGCCTACAACACGCCATTGAGGAGATATAATTGTCAAATTAATTCCTGGTGCAATTATATCCTCATCAATAAATAAGCTATTCAAGCTAAATACATTTATTTCTGATAGTTTTTGATCATTCATAGCATTATTAATATCTTCAGTACCAATAATAATACCTTCGAGTGTTAATAAATGTCCTTGATTATGCACTTTAGGAAAAGATGTAAGCATATCTATCTCCTTAATTAACTCGGATATATGATTATACCAACTACTAGTATTTCCTTTAATTTCAAGTGATTCTGGTTTAACGAGTTTAAAGAAATTTAATAGAGAAATTTTTTTAGAAAGTTCTTCGTTAAGATCATTTCTTTTCATAAGTTCAACGATAAAAAAAATTTGTTGAAGATTTTCTTCAAACTTTTCTGGATTATTGTGTATATTTTTAAATTTGTCAGAAAAGTCAATTAAAGAATTTCTTAATTCTTTAACGGTGCCTAGATGGGTGTCTATTAACGTTCTAAAGTAGTTTTGAATCGCTGGATAAAACTTTTGCTCAATATAATTGTTTATGTCACCATAGAATCGTTCAACTAGGTCGTTAATATAAAGTTTTGATTTATCATCCAATAAAATACTAGGCTCTAGATTCTCCAAATAAGAAATCTTTTCTATACTCTCTAAGATTAAAATTTTGTCCGTATCAGAAATTTTTTGATCTTTTTGATGAGGAGCGTTAAAAAAAACTATTTGACTTTCAGAAGAGGATAAAAAATTGAGTATCTTTCTCTTTGATTGACTAAAACTTTCTTGATTATCATATTCTTCGAGAATTCTATGGAAACAATTGCTTACTTTTCTAGTATCGAGTTTATCACTTTTCGTAATCACTAAACATAATCCTTGAACTAATTCATCAATGTTTTTAAAGGTTTCACCCAAGTAATTAATAATATTTAAGAACTCTATTTTTCTTGTATCTTTAATCGTAGATTCAGAAATAACGAGTAAAATTTTCAATTTCTTTACACTTTTGACTAACTTATAAATTGAGTAAGCATTCACGATATTCTGTACAGGACCCCCTGTATCTTCAAAACCGGGGCAATCCCAGTATACTTCTCGGCAAATTGGTAAAGAGGTCTGTGAAACAGCGCTATCACTGATAATTATACCGTTTGAATTATCAGACTTAATAATATAATCACCAAATTCATCTTCTTTACTGAACAGAGGAATTCCGGTTAAATAGCCCAATAATGTACTTTTTCCCTCTCCTGTTTTACCAATAATTATAATCGCATTTTCTTGTTGAGAAATCCTTTCATTTATTTCATTAAAAGAATGCAAGATTTCTTCGATTTCTTGGTCATTTCTTATTAACATTATGAACAATTTCAATAACGATAAAGACTATCGATGTATGAATACGTACATTGATTAGTACTATATATATTAATCTAACGGGATGATCATTATTGGGTCTTTCCTGAACTTCATGTTCTGATTGGACAAAAAATTCGATGTCATTGTTTTCAAATAAGATAGCTGTGCGACGTTAAGGTTTGTACTTCTGTTACTTATCGTTATCATTATCGTTATAGATATCAAGAATATGATTTATGCAGTATGTAGATCAATCGGTGATAGATATGGTACAGTAGTGTATTTCAAAAAATATTTTGTTACTGTACCTTGATTAAACGAGCGGAAGTTGTAGTTGATATTTCCTAAAAGCAATTAGTGCTTTGGTTTTTATGCTCATATAAATTCACGTTTGTTGCGCAATTATTGATCCGAGTTCCATATAATTTTTTGTATTTAGAAGTTCGAATCAATAAATCAGCTAAATTTGATTTCTTTAAGATCGTGCACAATAGATAATTAAATAAATAATAGTGATAAGCGAAAAAATCTTATTTTAAACATAATTGTTTACCAAATCCAATCATTTGCCCCCCAAATTTAAATTTTGGTTACCAAATTATATATTAAACAACCAATGTTAAACCCCGAAAAAAATTTTCGGACCTCTGATCTATACCGATAACGAGTCTAACACATCTTCCCACCCCGACACATCCCATTGGACATAGGAATTTATTACAGCTGTTTGTGAACAGGCGCAGATCACCTTATCTCTAGAAATTCACGAAATTTCCCAGATTTACAGAATTTTCAAAAGCCAATACTAATCGGACATACAACTTTTTACTGATCAGAATTTCCCAATTCTTCAATTTCCCACATAGGTATATGGGAATTGTTGTTCACACCTTTTCACACCTTTTGAAAACAGCTATAAATGATGCATCATCACTTGGGAAATGTTGATTATCTTAATCAAAATTTATATTTACATATTAGTAGTCAAAATTTTCAAATTTTGGGGTAGGTTACAAGTTCGCCGTAATAGTCATTAGTGCATACATACATGTAAGCGGAATTTTAATCATCACTAGTGTTATTTAATCTGAAGTTAGGCTGTTCGAAGTTAATTCTTTGGTTAGGTCGGACCAATTAAATTCTGTGGTTTACATTACCCCCTCTAAAATCTCCCATCTCAGTAAAAAAAAAAATCAATATATATAACACAATAAACCCCCCAGTAGAGGGGGTAATGTAAATCATAAGATTTACTGCTGTTTTCAAAAAGGTGTGAACAACGCGAAGAATAGGGAAATTCTGATTAGTAAAAATTGAATGTCCGATTAGCACTGGCTTTGAAAATTCCGGAAATCTGAGAAATTTCGTGAATTTCCCGAGATATGGTGATCTGCATCTGTTCACACCTTTATAAAACAGCTATAATTGGTCTGGCCTTAACATAATCCCCCAGTTGGGGATTGGAACCACCTAAAATTTATTCTAATCGTTTAATCGTTTAATTCGACCGGCATTAAAATAATTCCGGCCCATGACTAACATAATTCTGCCTGGAACTATGGAGGAATTTGTTCATTTTTATTTGTTCGTTTCATTTTATCCTTCTCCCAGGAGTTTTAAAAGGGATGTTAACAGAAAATTTAACTGCAAGTGGTCTATTACATTAAGCTTTTAGTATTTAATGATATAACTAATATAAACCGAACTTTACTTAAATAAGATATTATTATATCGATCATTGAAAACAATTTTCCCTCATACTATTCTTAGGAATTTAAATAGATATACCTCATATTCCTCTCATATTTTTTAATAATTCGATACTTTCATTATTCATATGGCTATTAACACATGCCATTACGTCCGCATACGATTCTCAACCTTCAATCGGGCTCTTCATAAACGAATTTGCGTTGCGAGCTGTGTGGCACAGATGTGTGGCTGTACCTCTTCGATCATGTGATATATAAATAATCTCTGCATGAGTCTCAACTACGTAAGTACGTACATAAAATTCCGTGTTTCTGCTCTACGGACAATTTAAAGTTTCACACAAACTAAAAAAGCAAATCTATTTAAATCTGCCAAAATGAAGTCATATAGCCTTATTTAGCATAAAGGTAAATCTATTTTTGTGAAACAATACCCATCAAAACTATATATAGTTGATTTCACCAAATTCCGAAGCTAGTATATAATAGCTGCATCATTTACACAATCAAAAAAAAACCTTTTTATTGATATCAAAATGATAGCATTGCCAAACGAATGTCTTTTCGATATATTAGATAATCTTAAAGATTATCGTAGAAACTTGTTTTCATGTCTTCTTGTAAACCGTCAATGGTGTAGAAATACTGTACCAATATTATGGAAAGAACTAGATGTTTTTAAGTATAGATCATTAGTGAAAATGTGTCTCTTAATGTTAAACACAGAAGAACAAGCTCTATTGATACCATTAAACTTAATACTTCCGAATGATCCAAAACCATTATTCGAATACACAACTTACGCTACAGATATTAATATTGATGCAACCGATGGAATTATAAGTTGGCTCAATAATGGAAAACGGGAGCTTCATTACTCATGGTCAACTGTGACTAAAATAATTAAACACTCTTTAACTCTAATGCTCCTACGGACATGTGATAAACTTAAAAACTTATGCATTCATGATAAAACAATAAATTTATTAAAACCAATTCTTGACAAAAGCACAACATTAACTTCTTTGACATTCTCGAGAAATGAACTTAAACCTGAGGATGTAAAAGCAATAGCAAAACTTCTTTGTATAAACACTACTTTATCTTCTTTAGAAATTAGGAACAATAAAATTTGTACTGAAAGTGGTGAAGAATTAGCTGATGCTTTTTATAAGAATTCTACCTTAAAATTCTTGAGTCTTTATAACAATCAGTTTAGCGCTAAAGTAGGAATTACAATAGCAAAAGCTCTTTGTAAGAATACTACTTTATCCGGCTTGCGTTTTTATAACAATAAACTTGGCCCTGAGGCAGGGAAAGAACTGGCAAATATGCTTTGCGCAAATACTAATCTCAATTATCTTAGTATTTCAAAGTGTCATATTGGTTCTATAGGGTGTACTACACTAGCTGAAGTTCTTCATAAAAACACTACTCTGACTTCCTTAAAACTTGGCTCTAACCAACTTGGCTATGTAGGGTGTATAGAAATAGCAAAGGTTCTTTATAACAACACAACTTTAACTTCTTTAAGTCTTTATAATAATCAATTTGGTCCCGAAGGTGGAGAAGTAATAGCAGAAGCTCTTCATAAAAACACTACCTTAATTGAATTAGTTCTTTATAATAATCAACTGGGTATTTATGGTGGGAAAGCCCTAATAAATGTTTTTTATGTAAACACTACTTTGACTCATTTGAATCTTGGAAATAATCAGCTTGGCTCTGATGTAGGAAAAGATCTCGCAAAAGCTCTTTTTGAGAATAATACTTTAACTCATTTGTACCTTTCCTATAATAAATTTGACTTGGAAGTAGGAAGATTGCTAGCAATATCTCTTTATAAAAATAATACTTTAATTTATTTAGATCTTTACAATAATAATCTGGGGCCTGAAGGTGGAAAAGCAATGGCAATAGCTCTTGGAATAAATAAGACCTTGACTTATCTAGATCTTCGATCGAATAAAATTCGTAAGGAGGGTGGAAATGCATTAGCAGAGGCTCTTTATAAAAATAATACCTTAGCTTCTTTGAATCTTTGTCATAATAAACTTGATTCGAATGTAGGAAGTGCATTAGTTGATGCTCTTCATCATAATACCTCTTTAACCACTTTAAATCTTTCTAGAAATCCTATCGATCAATCTGTATTATATGTCATTAGTCGTTTACTTATTAAAAATATCGAAAAATTTTAATATTTCGTATAGTTTAAAAAATATTATAATAATTACTGTGTATTTAATATCATATTTATCGAATAAGAGAGCTAAAATTCGAAATTTTTCGACTAAAACGAAGGTATTTATCTTACTATCAAAATAACCATACCAAGGTTTAGGTGTTAAATCAGGAGCGTTGCTCTTAACCTGTACATGAAATTCTTTTATATAGTTATACTATTGGTAAGGAACATCGAGAGATCCTTTATTGAAACAAGCAGATTAGCAACTTTAATACTACTTGCAATGAACTATAAAGTAACTATATATAATCGACACTGGATGTTCTCAAGCAGCTCCTTCAATGTGATTAGCTAGTGATCGAGACATTGCTCAAATTATTACGATTAATTGAGTGATTAAAGCGGTTAATCGAAAAGCAACTCTATGAAAAAGAAGATTGTCTACACCTCCAGGTTTTATTCATAAAAATGATAATTCACTTATTTGGTTTATTCACATCCCTACTAATTAAAATTTTGCATCCGAACTATTGATTGAAGTGCTTGAGAACACCCATATACCAGCCGTCCGAGACTTGTTTATATAAGTACATTTTTGTGTTAATAAATAAAAACTTTTTTTATGCATTTGTCGAGTATATGAATTAGACAGTATTGATTGTGGTTACAATGAAGTTCTCAATTTCAAATTACTATTGATTTTTACTCAAGGGTTTTAGAAAATATTTAGAAACTTTGTAAGGCTATATGAACTCTATATTGATATACTGACAAAGTTTCTTTTTGATATCTCTTTTGTGTGTAACAAGTTATGTGATCTAAAATCATACAAATTTATATAGATTTGACTTTAGGTCATGCAAAATTAATAAATTAATTTTCATAATCCGGCCGGATCAAAAATCTGAAACTTGTAAAAAATCTTTTTATATGTTTACAGCTGTTATTATTATTCCTGAGACACTTTATGAAAAATTAACCGAGTGATTATTCTGCCAATTCGATAAGTTATCCGGCATCAGACTATGATCGGGCGTGCCAAATAACTTGAGTTATTTGGCAGCTCACGTATAAAAAAAAAGTTTGTTTAATTATTTGGCAGCTCACATATGAAAAAAAAAGTTTAATTTAGTTATTTGGCAGCATTATTTTTTTGCATTGGGTAAATTACTAAGCATAATAGAACTTTTTTAAATTTGAAGACAATTGGATATAATCGAATAAAATAATCTAGCATAATGTTAATAGTTTTTTATTTTTTGACAATAATAAAGTACATTACATATATAGTTAATAGTAACGTTTTCACCATTTATATAATAATTTTTGTTCACTTTAGCATCATCATAATCAGTCGAATCTTGTCCTTCAGAAGAATCGTTCTTATTGAAAATCTTACGAGAAACTCGCTGACTGCTGTGAGGTTTATTTTTAATATTTCGTAAAGGTGATTGGAATGGTTTCATAACAGAAAAATTAATTGATGAGAATAAATTCGTTGAAACAATATTTTTGATTTTTCTAATAAAAGTATTTTTTTTATTAAAATTAAATAAAAAAAATCTATCTAAAAAAAAAAAATTTATACTCTTGTATCATTTAAATCTTCAGAACTATTTGATGAATTATTTGAAGTTTCTGAATCTTTTAAAGGTAAAATTCCAACATTATTTATTAATAATGATAGTGCTTCTTCTTTTTATTACTGTGATGAACATGCAAAAATTCTATACGATAACTCACTTTTATATCCAATTAATGACATTGTAGTAACTGTTGAAACATCTTTTTGAAATAAGAAAATAATTGATATAGATCTTCCAGAATAATTAATAATATCCTGATTTTTCAAATTGATATCTACTATGATACAAATAGTTTTCATTAAAGTTTACATGTCTTTTTACCTAATCAGACATCAAGATACCATTCAGGATCTATATTATTATTAGATTAATATTAATATTAATAATATTAATATTAATTCTGTTATAATTAGTAAAAATCTTACTTTTTGTATTTTTATTAACTTGCAAATAAAGAGATGAACAATTAGAATTTGTTGGTCTTTTAGCAAAATAATACTTAAAATCATAAACAGAACCACAATAGTTTTCAGGATCAGGTGGAATAAGAATTACAAGAATATCAGAACAACCATCTACACCTTTTTGATTATTTTTTTAATAATTTTTAATGAATTGCATTCCCCTATTAGATGTAAATATAATTTAAGCCATGATCATTTTATAATACTTTCCACCCTATGGTTGAAAAAGAAGACAGCTCCATATAAAGATTTGATAAACTAATTCTTCAGAATTATTAATAAAAAATGCAGAATGTTAAAATATTTATTTCAATTCATCATCAGTTAAATGATCATGATGTCTTGATACAATTTTATTTTTTTTTTAATTGCTTTATCTTGTCATTTAAGCTTTCCATAATCGTAGAAATTCTTTTTGATTATTAATATTAAATTTATTAACTGATTCAGGATGCTTAAATATATAAACACTTAGCAACTGTATACAATTCATAAAGGAAGATGTTGAATATTTTGACAGATCATGAATTTGTTTAATTCTAAGACAAATTCAGTCATTTTATGTTCTAATTGTTGCTGATTATTAATTGTTTTAATTCTATATTCATATTCTACTTTTAACCTTTAATTTTCAAGAATTTTGATCTACTTGGCTATGACATTGTGAGTATTTTCAGGTATTATGTCTTTAATAATTTCATTAATTTCTTTATTTATAGGTTTATGATATTTAACTTTTTTATTTAATATTTTTTTTAGTGTTAAATAAGTAAATAAAGATGGAACTAAAATAAATATAAAAGTGAAATGAAAGTAAAAATGTAAAGAGCAAAATAATCTAATTTATTTAAAATTATACAAGATATTTATATAAAAATTTAGACTTCACAAATTGATTATAGTTATTTACTTGCTTTTATATATTTATCATTTAAATTTTAATATCTTTTGATTCATTTTAATTAGAGCTTATTATGAAGTCATAAGTTATCTGATCATTGTCAGATACTAAATAACATCATTATTGAATGCTACATACCAATAATTGTTATATCTAAACCAGAATTTGATCAGACTATATCTGGACCCTTGTGGGGCCCAGCCATCAACAGATCACATTCTGGCTCAAATACTTTCATTATTGGTCAGTATGACAATAATAATATAATCATGCAAATCATAGTAAAATTGTATTACCTTTTAAATAACTCCAGTTATTGACATTTATTACAAAGTATATATATAGATGCTAATCAATTTGCAGTATCAATTATTAATCAATAATGACCAAATAACCAATATCAATATAACTCTAGTTAAGTATTATACTTTTAAAACATATTTAGTCAAAAAAAATTTAGGAGGATTATAAATTCAAATAACTACTAAACACTTAGATGTTAGTAGATTTTCAATCAATAGAGAATTTCAAAGTTAACATACAGAAATCTAATTTTGACAAAAATAGATGATATATTTATTTACAAATGAGTAATATATCAACTTTATTTAATTTCTTAATAAATTTGAAATAATGATTTTTGTTGTTGAAAGTTTATTTATTTTGTTAAATGGAAATTTACATTTTATTTTTCTCATTTAATTTCAAAATATGCACTCATTTGCTAACTTTGAAACCCACTAATTTCAGAAATATGGATATGTTGAAAGACTTCTGTTACTTATAAGAAATTATGTTTATTAAATCTGAATGATATAAAATATCTTAAGACTTTAATAAAAGTAAAACCTAATTGATATTTTTTGAGTTATGATTTGAAATAGAATGTGAAAGTAAAGATTATTTGTTGCCTTGTAGTTTTATATGAGTTTTATTTATAAATCAATTAGACTATCTTTGTAAATACTGTTATATTGATGACTAAGCATCCAAAAAAGTTTTGATCATTATGTAACAAACATATCAAACACTAAAAATTTATAAAAAAAAAATACAAATAAAAAAATTTTAGACTAACAAAGTAATTAATTAATTATTTTATTATTTCAAATAGCTCAATAAATGTAATATTTATTATTACCAAAAGTATTATTAGAGTATTTTATTGCCTTTTATAATAATTATAATCATTCAATTTATACAATATAAAAAATTTTTATTAATACTATTTGTTTTCTTCAATAATGTTTTGTTACTGTATCCTGAATTCAAATAAATAATCAGAATTATATAATTATCTGAAAGAGCATTAAAAATCTACAAAACTTTTTGGTACAATTACATTTTCTTGATTAGTTTTGATAATTTTATTTTAATTTTCAATTTTTATTTATTTATTATTAGTGAAAAATTTGGTTACAGTAACTAACATATACAGTATTTTATAATAGAGAGTTTATTGAATCTCATGTTTTTAACAATTACTTTTCATTTTAAAGAATTGAAGAAAAAAATCACTAAATTAATTATGTTAATAAATATTATTATTATGATGTATCTAAAGTAATGATTTACAGGGGATGCAAATTATTAACTCTTTCTGATAATCATTTGTACCAAAATTCTCTGATAATAAACTGACATAACTAAATAATTTATTAAGTAAACCTTTTCTGGCCTCCTAAGTAAAGTTGTTCACAAATAAATTTTACATATAAGTGGCCTAGTTTTATATCTTTCAGACTCCTGTACAGTGAGATATAGTTATTAAACTGCATAATACTTTTTCTAAAAATTTAATAATCTATTAAGTTAACCTTAATTATCATCTTAAACAAAAAGATAGAGCTCACTTAGAGCTTCATTTAAATATATTACACATTAATATTGGACTAATATTGAAGGTTTTAAAATGCAAAAAACCTTTAAAACTCCTTTACAAAACTTCTGTTCCTTTTTTGTAAAAAATTTTTTCTTTTTTTGAGAGGGTTCTGTATCCTAGAATGCCTAGCACCTGCAGATCATTTCCAAAAGCCATATTACTAATTAATTTAATACAACTTTTAATTTTTTCTATTTTTGATTTGATTAACTAATACAAAAATCTGTTTAACATCAATTATTGTAACAACTTAGTCTGCACACCCTGTGCTATTTATTTGTTACATTTTCTTATTTATTACACCCTTTTACTCATCACATCTCTTATTTGTTACACTCTCTTATCTGTCACATCTTCTTATTTGTCATATCTTATATTTTTCAGATCCTCTTATATTCAAGATTTCATTTATTATCTCTGTTTTTATTCTTTAAACTCTAAACAATGCCTATTTTAATCTCTGAAGATCCTGACTCCTACAACATTGACTACTACCATGGCAGATATAAAGATTGGTATGGTGTAGAAATAGTAGAAGGAAAACCTCAATCTTTACATGTACTCCTAACAGACATTAATTCAATTACTTGTAATATAACAAAAAAGTATCATTACTTCAAAGTTTCTCAACAACCTATTATTACTACATGTCTTTGTGGAACATATCATACTAGTTTTACTTCTTCATTTTACAGAATCCTTTATTCTACTTCTCTTATGCAATCTACAATCCAAACTACTTCTACTATCTCTATTGGTCATTTCAAAAAAATAGCTGATGAATTATCTCAATCACCTATTTCTAAACAACAATAATCTGATTCATCTTCTTCCAAATCTCGTATGCTATTTTCTAACTTCCAAATAGATCCTACACCTTCTGCAATTATTACACATTCTCAACACTATCACTTATATAGATCTAAAAATATTCTTTATGTAGCAACAAAACAATGTAGTCATGCCCCTGAGTACATAATCTGTACAATCTTTAAATAAAATCTAATCTACAGACTCTGTATCCTTTATCTATTAAATATTAAACTTAAACCTCTAGTTCAAACCTCTCCTCTTACATTTCAACAGCAAATAGTTATAGCTTCAATTAAATGTAAACTAATTAGTTTAAATACTCAAATTTCTTCTTTTACTTCCAAAAAACAAATTATTTCTCTTTTAACTCTTAAACAAAAACTAATTCTTGCTCTTATCAAAATTCAATAGATAAAATCTACTGAAAAAATCCAACTTCTTAAATTCTTCTTATTAAAGAAAAACAAAAAACTTAATTTACAACAAAAACAAAAACCAAAAGTAAACCAATGAGATACTACTAATGATCTTGATTGATTTAAAGAATATCCTGTAACTGAATCTATGAAAAATAACACCAAACTAAATAATTCTATTGCACAACAACTATTTAATTTTATTAAACTATATCTTATTAACATCTATTGAGGAAAAATCACTCAAGCAGCTTCAGAAAATGCTCTTGAATCCAAACTTAATTACAAATATCTGGTTAAAACCCTAGCTAGCAAAAGACCTAAATTTTTAATTGATCTTATCTATAAAGCAAATCCTTTAGTTGATAGATCAATTTCAATTCTATTCGAATTAATTCATTCTATCTTCATTTCACTTTTGCAAGAATTCACTATAACCTTATTTATACAACTAAATTATCTAAGAATTTTTGTTTTCTATAACTCTATTCCTTTATATACTACTATAAACTGAAAACAAGTAGCACTTAATTTAGCCTACCTACACTTTATTCTTCATGACAAATACAAAACCATCCATGCTGAAAAATTCTAAGATCTTAAACTCTACTCTATCTATTTCAGACTTAACTACTTTATTAGTGAAGATAATATTGACTAACCACTTTTTAAAATTCAAAATGATGACAAATTTAATATTAATATATCCCTTAATATTTCTAAAAAACAATTTCTCCAAACTTTCCAAATCCCTTCTTTAAAAAACTACTTATCTGAATTTAAAATCTGGTTTAAAAAATTCTTCAATATTTATAAATGTTAA